GGTTGGCTGTAATCACAAAACTAGCTAAATACCATAAATATTTGGAAGTAATAGTGCTTTCATCATATTTTAACACTGAGAAAGTATATTCCCCACTGTTAAATATCTTTTTCTTGCCTTTTGCTGCAACATCAGTTGCTGGCTTTAAAACAGGCTTTTCCCCCTCTTGGTGATAATTAAAAACAAACTCAGACCATTTGTCAGCTGTCACAGCAACCAGGACAATCGAAATACCAAATATTTGCACACCCAATCACAGCTTTGTTCCTGTAGCCAAGGCTCTCTGTAAAACCCAAACATGTTTTTCTTTTGTCTAGAATTTGTTCTGGGCCCACATCCCTAAACCACTAATAAGTTATTGCCTTACACTATTGCGCCAGTGCTCCCCTTGTGCCACACCACGCAACAAAAGCAGAAATAAGTACATTTGTCAAAATAGCAGTAACCACTTCCACATTATTTGAGCAACTAACATATCAAAGAAGAACAGATGCTGCTGTATTTTTGTCCCAGTAACAACATTCCCTGTGCACCTTTGACTCACACTCAGGGCTGCACAATGTGTCCACACTGCCATGTTCTGCACATCATCTTCCCATCCACTGCTTTTTGCCAGAGGACATGTTTTGAAGTCCACAAATCCCTGAAAATTACCTGAATAACAGGGGATGGTGAGCTGGCTTCTGATTTTGATTGTCTTCAATGACTTTTTTAGTCTGGTCATTGATGCAAGAGAAAATAGCCTTCAGACAAAGGCCTTCACAATAATGGTGTTGGCCTCTGAAAAGGAGGAGCCAGGACAATCAGCCCCCAGAAAAGAATCAGCACTTGAACAGGTTTGTGGGTGTTCTTACTTACAGCTAAAAAGTACATTGATGAACAGCATGGTTTTCCAGGTGCACAGTCCCATGTCTGCTTCTGTCTGAGCACGTGTGGTTTTTCAGGACAATTCACATGGAATTATTATTTTTCTGTCATTTCTGTGTTGCTTTACCAAGATCTTATTAACAAGCCATGTAGAAAGTGCAGGCATTAAGAAAACTCCAGAGGCTAGCACAAAACACTATGATCCCAGTGTTCTGATCTGTTTAAAAGAGTTGAGCACTACTGGTTTATAAAAGTAATTATTTTAAAAGCTTTTGAAGCATACACAAGGCTCTTCTTTTATTAAGTTCCCATTTTAGTGACTACGATTTCCAGTCTTTCAACCCTGCCAAAGCTCCCCTTCTCCATCCAGGATGAAAGGGTAGCATGTCATCTTGAAAGCAAGAGTAACAAAAAAACCTATCCTTTTTGTTTTGCACACACAGGGCTGAGATTCCACTCTACTCCACCGAGGGAATAAAGAAATCACAGTGCAATGTGAATGTCTGGGGCTGGGAAGAACACTTTACAACAGGAGACGGTTGCATTACATGGTGACACAAGTTCAAAAACTCAACATGCTTCTGATGTAGAAAAAGGAATGTCACTTCAGAAACTTGGAATGATTCCCAACTGTTAAGATCTTATTTACCATTTGCACAAGTCAGTTTCTGGTATAAGATATCAGCACCTTCTCTATTTGCATTACAGTTAGAACTACAGAGCAATGCATATTCTTTAACAGATCTAAAGAAAAATGGGTATTTCAACAAAATTAGGTAACTTTCATGCCTTGATTTTTCTCCTTAAAGTCATCATACTGACTTTCTCAGAGGCTGCATGCAATTCCTTGGGGAGCATGAGGGGATGCTAATGCTAGCAAAAAAGCAAGGCAGTTGTCTAATTTGATCACCCAATTTAACAAAGTAAATGATCCCATTTGACCCTCCACACAGAGAAATACATAACCAATAATTGTCAGTTATCAAAATTGTTTTTCTGCCTGAGACTCCTTTTTGTAAAGTCTGGTATGTCTATGACACAAAGGCTACCAAGCCCTATCAAAGTCAACACAACATTTTTCCCGTGTACATCTTGCCCCCCAGAGAATGTTCATTCCAGCTCAGCCTTGCTCGTCTCCTCATTCCCAGTGAGCTGTTTCATCTTTTTTTTTTTTATCCCAAACCTAAATCCAGCATATGTTACAAACCTCTGTGATTAATGCATGGACAACCAGGAAATGGAAAGAACAAAGCAGGATCTCTAGGGTGTCAAAAGGTGCAATTCTATTGCAGTCTGAAAGGGTGAAAAATGAAAGGAAAATAATGATTTGCACCTATGAGTATTTGCAAGCTAAAGAGCCAAAATATAGGTAATGATGATTAATAACAACAGCCTGAGGTAAGTAGAACTAGACTGCAGTCAATCCCTAGATAATTTAAGGTCAGTTGAAGGGGAAACAGCAGACTGGGCACAAAATTTAGAATTCATTTTGCAAGGATTTGTAACCTCAAAGGAATACACAAAATAAAAAAATCTGCTAACCTTGGGCCTAAACCATTAGAGACATAGATATGGCTCAGTATTCAGAGGCACAGATTAAATTTTCTATTCCTATACACCAAATTGCTCTGAGGACCTTATTCTTTCACCAGATATTCCCTATGGACTATAGTCAATGCCACAATTTTCCTTAGTGCCACATCTACCTATAAATCACACAAAATCAGAAAGAAAATAAAAGCAGGGTAAAGTACTTGAATGTTTTTGTCAGGGTTCTGCACCAGCAGAGATATTCTTACAGAGAAGGAGAGCAAGAGCAATGCTTTGAGCTTTGAAAGCAATTATGATCTGCTCTACAAAACTCATCCGTTAAATTCTGATTGATTTCACTTCCTCTATTGAAAAAGTTCTGCAGAACTCAATAAATAAAAATAATCATCCTACAAAAATTTATAAATTTTCTGATTGGTCAGTGTGTCTGGAAAAGAGTCTCTAGATAAATCAACATTCACCTACAGAACTTTGCCATTGAAGTCACAAGGAGTTTTACAGCTATTCATCTGTGGCAAAGTTAGACTAACCGATGTTTAATTATAAATATTATCTGTTAAATTTTCTATTATTAAATTATTTACTACATTTGAAAAGAAGATTTAAATATCTACTCTGTATCAATCTCAAAGATTTGCTACTGCTTTTAGAGGAATGCTTCTCAGATATAATTCATTTTTTTAGACTTGTAGATATTTCTGACCATACTGACCCTTTTGGAGTGTAACAAGAAATCCCTCCCTCATAGGCATGAAAAAGAAATATATTCCATCTCATTCCTCTTGAAACTCTTACAGCTAGAAAGGAATCTGTTCTTAAATATCTGAAGCACAAAATGAAATCCAAAGTCCCAGAAAGAACTTTGTACCTCACTACACATGAAGGAGCAGGATTTCCTACCACTCATCCCCAAAAATATTTTTGACACCACTCACAACATCACACAAGTATAAAAACTGCTTAATTATGCACAGATGATGCAAGCTATATACTTTTTCTGTGGCATTAATAGTAATTGATATTTTCTGAACATTTGTGAAATTTCTTATCAAGCAACAGCAAGGAAGGGACATTTTATATGAGGAAAGGACAGTTTAGGGCCCAGACCTTTTTTCTCTGTCTACAAATACAATATTTACCATCAGTTCCTGACAGAAGTGTTGATGCAGCAGGAGAGAAGTGCTGCTCCCCTCTCCCTCTACTGAAGTTGGTGATAGGAAACAGAAGAGTGCTAACATAATAAGTAGATAGTAATTTAAGTGGACACAAGCTTAAGATTTATTGACCTGAGAGCAAGAGGTCAATATTTATTCAGAGAACAATAAATCTTTATTCTTCATTCTAACAGATGTTAATCCAATGTATTATTAAATCCATCCCATTAAAGCTAATTAGGCTGTGCATCCTCATGAGCCTTGTTGCCAATAGTCATTAGTATTTCCTGGGTCGTTATTACTATGCTTTGATAATTAAATCATATCATATTCAACACAAATATATGGGGATAGAAATATTTGGTTTTCTCTGTCATGACTATACTGTTGTGCATTTCATTAGGTTCTTCTTCATGCTGCTATAGACCTGTCTTACATTCTTCTGCCAGGACCATCACAGCTAAGGAATAAAAAGTTCTGTTTTAACCACACCATTTTTTAAACTTTTTTCATTTTCCTTAAAAACTTGATGCTCTTAAAGCCACATCCATCTGCTTGTCATGCTCTAGGCAGGTAAGAAGGAGAAACACAAATCAGTAAGTAGCTGCTGCTAGGGAAAAGAAAAAGAGAAAAGGAAAAAAAGACCTTACTCCTCAGTGTAAGTGAAAAAATCCTTCTATTTTGGAATTTTACAGTGCTTTCCATCCTCACATTTCAATGTGCTTCTTAGATAAGAAGAAATACTTTTATCTCCTCCTTAATCTCTGAAAGGAACTGAGTCACACAGAAAGGAAATAATGACTGAGATCTTAATCACAACTCTATGCCAAAGCTAGACATCACTCAGGTACATTAGTGAGCAGGACAGGGGATTTTTAATGCAAATTGCCCTTGCAAATGCTCTTGCAGAGCACACACAGACTCATCCCATTTGGGTCAGAGGTTTCCTTCCTGGAGGCACCTCAGCTGAACAGCAGCAGCAGGATGCAATGCCGAGTGCCCCCCTTGCAGTGCAGATGCCAGCTCCTGCAGTGGGCAGCACTCCATGAGCTCACAGCACACACCCAGGGCTGCTGACTGCTGTCAGCTTCGCTCTTGGCAAAGGCTTAGTGAGGGACCACTGAAAATCAAATCCTGGTCACACCATCTTCTTTATACCACACACATCCCTAACACAGACTACCATTTCCCAAGTTCCAGCTCTGTATATTTACTTAGATTGATCTTTGACAGTATTTTTCCTTCAGGGCCCACGCTGTTTACAGACTCTAGTTGGTTATTTTTGTAAAAGCCTCTCACATAAAGGGAGCAACAGCTTGAGAGGAAGTGTTAGGTACATTGAACTGTACAACATGTTACCCAGAGACACGCCCTTCAGCACTGAGGATAAAATGTGGAACGATTCCCATCATTTTGGCAGACTAAAGGTTAGACATCTAGCCTAGGCTAACCATCTAGGCTTTGCCTTTAGTTAAGAGAGAAAAAGAGGCACTTATAGACAGTAATTCATCTCATCCTAGAATAAGACAGGCCTTAAGATAGATGGACTCCATTTGGAAAACTTTCTCCCACATGGGCTTCAGTAGAAGACCTCTACCTAAGTTTCAGTTGGCTAAAGCAAGGTAAGATTAACTCCATGCAGACAGTTTATCTCGAATCAATACTATATAAAACCCATGTTCCTCTGCTGTTTCTAACTGGTGGATTGCCCCAAAAGCTGCACTGGACAAAATACAGAGGGAGGATATCCAGAGTACAAGAAGATTCAAGGGGAACCTAGTGTGGAAAATGCATTATACGATGCTTAGGTGAAGAACCAAAGGTGTGGACAGGGAGAAGTCAGGAGGGTGGGGGAGGTGAGGAAAACCCCATGCAGCATTACAGGCTTGAGGCAGAGTGGCTGGAAAATGGCTCGGTGGGAAAGGACCTGGGGGTGTTGATTGACAGCCAGCTGAACATGAGCCAGCAGTGTCCAGGTGGCCAAGAAGGCCAATGGCATCCTGGCCTGTATGAAAAATAGTGTGGCCAGCAGGACCAGGGCAGTGAATGTCACCCTATGCTCAGCAGTGGTGAAGGCACACAACAAGTCCTGTGTTCTGTTTTGGGCCCCTCACTACAAGAAATACATTGAGGTGCTGGAGAGAGCCCAGAGAAGGGCAGTAGAGTAAGGGAAAGGTCTGGAAAGTCAGTCCTATGAGGAGCTTCTAGGTAGCTGGGGTTGTTTAGTGTGGAGAAAAGGTGGCTTTTCTCCAAAAAGAGAGCACCTTCTCACCCTCCATAAGCACCTGAAAGGAGGGTGTAGCCAGAGGAGGGGCAGCCTTTTCTCCCCAGCAGCCACTGACAACACAAGAGGAAATGGCCTCAAGCTGCACAAGAAGAGGTTCAGGTTGGACTTCAGGAGGAATTACTTCACAAAAAGGGTTATTAAACATTGATTACCCAGGGAGGTGGTGGGGTCACCATCCCTGGATTTTCAGTGGTCCCTCACCTAGTTTCATGATCTAGTTGACAAGGTGGTGATCAGTGTAAGATTGGACTAGATCTTAGAGGTCTTTTCCAATCTAACCGATTTTGTGCATTAAAAATAGGGAAAGTTTAACAGGGCAGATACAGACAGATGGTTAGCACCCTTACCTACCTCAATCCTGCACTTGATCACTGCAGACTATCCTTTACTCTTATTAAAGCAAATTTCTTTCTTCTGTGTGGATATGTAAACATTAATAAACTCCAAGTTAGACAAGGCAGATAGCAGGACAGGAGGTCTGAATACCTGAATACCTGAAAACCAACATACCAGCAACTGGATAGACAGTTTTCCAAAACCAGCTACTAGAGGGAGTGTGAGTATATTTCAAGACTTCAGTCCTTACCATCTGAAGAGAATATAATTGTTTGAAGTGTCCATGTCTGTATGACACAATTTTAGATGTGTTCATAAGGATGCAGCAAAGACACTGCTCTCTGTGCTGATCTCTGCAGCCAGCTGTGTGTATATCATGGTATTGTGTGTGTGTGTGTGAGTACATGTGCTCCTCTTGGAACTGTGTGCTCACTGGACTTGAGGACAGGGAACCACGGTGGTCTCACACCAGTTGGGAGGAAAAAGGAGGAATGTTGCTGGGTCCCAAGGCCAGCCACCTTCTGACATTGTGCTGAATTGGTGCTGCCCTGAAGTCTTTTCTGTGGCTGATAACCTGATACAAACCATTCTATGATTCTGTGGTTTTCACTGAAATGGTAGGGATCTGTGCTTCGAATGATTTTCTATGTATAAGAAATTATTTGCATTTTATCCCAGGAGCATCCCAATGGTCCCACAAATGCACATTGATCATTAGAAAACGCTGGGGTGGAGCTTCATCTTTCCTGAACTTGAAATGTAACTTCAGACTAGGATTAAATCCACAGATGTTTTTACCTCACTATTTTATCATATGTTAAGTCCTCCAAGATCAAAAGCTTAAACTGCACAGAATGAGGCAATGTGAGGTTTGCATATTTGATACTGTTTGAGCAAGAGCCATCTTTAACCAAGAACAGTTGTGAGAATACGTGCTAACACCATCCCAAGGGTGTGCCTCCACTCTCTTGACGCTATTTCCCTTCTATGTTTGGAGCCAATTTTCATAAATTTAGCACATACAAATTCCTTTGGTGCACTGCTGCCAAGCTGGCCATGTGTACATGCAAAGATAATTTTTCCTGTAAGCACAGATTATTTGCATGTATATGTTAATATATGTATACATGCAGCTGTGTAGGATCAATTTAGAATAAAAGCCAGGTTTGCAGCAGACACCTCCAAAAAACACAAACACGAAAAACAAGCCAAAGGAAAAGCTCCATCTTGTACGTGGCACAGCTCTCCAACAGGCTACAGAGCAAATGATTCTCACATTTAGCGTGGCTATAGGCTACTGCCCTCCTACAAGCTTCAAACTCTTGTTATTTTACTCCACTCAGATGATTCTCATTATAACTGGGATGAGTGCTGAGTTAAAAAGTCAGTGTATGAATCATATCATCAACTCAGTTGTCTGGAATTTTGCTTTTCCATGCATTTCCTCCTTGCTACATGGATCACCAGTGTAAAACACGTTGTAGCTGCATCAAATTTCCTTTTGCTCTTTTAACCCTACAATTGCCTGTGAGCAGATACGTATTTGCTGCTATCCAGCTTCCTAACCACCGATGATCTGTGCCTTCACTGCCTGCCTCACAGAAGTCACAAAGACTTACAAATATTTACACTGAGGTTAAATCCAAGAGGCATCTCTTTATCCAGCTTCTGGGATAAAGCCTCTGCACTGAGTGCTTGTGTTCTGCTCAGTGAAAAAAAAAAAAAAAAAAAAAAAAAAAAGACAGAAAAGACAACCCAGATGTTCAGTTTAAGCCTAATTTAAGCCATGCCATTGCTCCATGCACCATCAGATCTCATCCATCTTTCCATACATGGAGGTGGCTCCAGAGCACTGCATCTTTTACCATAGCCATCACCCCCATTGCCCCTCCTCCCACACTGGAGCAGAATGAGGGTTGTTTACACCAGCTTTTAACCTTGCCAGAGGAAGGATGTGTGCATGTGAGTGCCTCTGAGCACTAGTCACAAGACAGGCTTCTGCTTCCTTACAGAGTTACACAGAGAACAAAAGAGAACTTTTCCCCGCTATTAACATTTACTGTTCATGAGACATGCTCCTTCTTTTAGCTGTTTATTTGAGCTATATTTATTTGGCCTATAATAGCTATAGTACAGTCTAGTGTGTTGTACATCATCATCTTACAGTCCTGTGTTTTGTACATTTCCCTCTTGCTATCTAAACACTGCACCACTGATATTTTCTACCTACAGTCACTCTGCACAGGACTGTACTAGATTTCCCCTCGTTCCAGATCTGTCTAGGTCCACCTATCAGCCTCCATTCCTGAATATTATACCTTGCCTTTTTCAGTAAAAGAATATCTTTGACTGATTCCCTTCAGTGGAATGCATTTTTCTTCCAGATAACACATCTTGCAATCTTTTCCCTTGAATCCAGTGGTAATCTGAAAGCTCAGGACTAGAGCAGGTTCTATATTTTCAGGGTGGGCAGTACAGAAATGGTTTTTCCTTGGTTTGTTTTTAATAAAAAAGTGCAATCATGTTTTCAGTGTAATTCCCCCCCACACACACACAGTTGTTCATAACTACCTTTTATTAGCCAATGGTAATCAATCTGTACATTCAGAGGCTTAAGTTACAGTCCACAGCAATTATTTCAAGTACTAGTATATCTGAATTCTTTCACTGTGGAAATACTAAACCCAGCTTGAAGCTGTGGAATACTTGATGAATGTTTTACAATAGGACAAAGAAAAGCAATTCCTACACTTTTATCCGACAACTGATTTTAAAAAAAATCACAGAGCAGGATATACAAAGCTAGAAGCACCTCCCTGAATCTCTAAAATGATCCTACTAAATAGATTAATCATTAATGGACAGCGAGAAAAGTTTAAAAGCTTGGCAGGAAAATCTGTCAGTCTTGTGCTTTCATTTTCCAATGTCAGCTGTGATTTTGGGCAGAAAACACAACTTGGGCTGCTTTTGATCACCATCTAGTGCATGAACTAAAGAACTGCACAGGTTTAAGATCTGATTTACTGATTTAAAGTTAAGCAGCCGCAGGATTAGTAATTCTTTTCATCATTTCTAGAAGACCTCAAATAGGCTTAGTGAACTCGAAAAAGCAGGAAATTCCAGATGCCCCTAGCTGCCTGATGGAAGTGAGATGTTTCATGAAAATACTGTTTTCTAGTAGTCTTGACTGTGATGGTCTAGGGAGATAAAGAAAGCAAGATCTTCATAGTGAAATAGTGCCTTTTTCAGTCCAACTTAATTAGTTGAAGGAGAAGGAGAAACATGGTTTCAAGTAAGGAGTCCTTTCACTAAGCCTCTTCCATGTGTTTAAATACTACATTTATTTGTTTTCTGATTTTTTTTTTTGTCAAGTCAGAAACATTATTTGCAAAATTCTTCCCTTAAAAAATTAATCGTGTGCATTGTTATATAACTAAAGCCCACATTCTGATTGCACTTCAACATTTATCCATGCAGTGGGGACTTCAAGGCTGGTAAATGAGTAGGATAACTGGACAGAGAGAGACTATCAGTACCCCTGGGGATAAAAGCCCCTGGCAGCTTTAGGTGTTGACCACTGCAGATGACTCAGGACAATGTGGACTATGCTTTTCAACAGTACTGGCCAACCAAGGCCAATTCTTGGATAACAGACTTGCTTTTCAGAAATCATTCTGTGCCTCCACCCACGGAAATTCAGTATCTTCACCCTCAGGAACTTACTTAAGAAGACCAAAACAGAACAGAGAATATGTTTTTACTAGAACAGGCTTACACCATCAATATTAAATATTAATATTATGAATTTCCATCAAAGATTAGCAGGAGTTTCAGGAGACACTGGGAAGAAGACTTTGCCTGTAGACAGCAGAACAGCCTTCTTTTTAAGGGAAAAAATTGCTTCTTTTCCCCCATTTTCTTATGAGGCCAGACAAAGGAGGAGTAAAAGATGCTTCAATACCACAACTTACCAGTAGCCTCTAGTCACTGTTATACAGT